ATGCATATACAGAAACATAGATGGGGTAACCCACATGTTCTATTATATCTGGAGACGGCGGCACGATAATCTACAGTGTGTTTTCTCCGCATGTGGGCTTCAGATTACATAAATGAAGTGGTCCCCAAATTTTTCAGTCTGCCACCCCCTTTTCTTTTGCATAACAAGCCCAGCTCCCCATTGCCTCTCTCTCTGCATTTGGTCTGTTGCTCTGCTGCATGTGTGGGACAACCAGTCAACACCCCCCTGGATATTTCCACCAACCCCAGGGGAACACTTTCGGAATCACTGCATTAATGGATAGCTACAGCATCTGACCGAAAAGGCCTGGGAAAACAGGACCCAGCAGGGCAAAGTATACTCTGTCAAGAATGCACTTTTTTAAATAACATGATCAAATGATTCTACTCACATGACTAAGCATGACTTGAAATCCCTATAAATAGCTAGTGGTAAATAGTACATTAGAACAATAATTTTGATAAAGAATTTACTGTGTGGAAATCTTACAGGAAGAATTAGAAGATAATTCCCCCATATATAAATATCTGGATAATTCTAGATATTTTGTATCTCTAGTATTTTGTACATGTGTGCTTATTGCATTGTTTTAAGAAACCGGTTTGGGTGGGGGGGGTGTAAGGGCGAGGTTACAGTACAACTTGTCTCGAATTCTAAGGGAAAGTTTATTAATGCGAAGCTGGTCATTTTTTCCAGTTTGGGAGGGGGAATGGTCCTTTGGGGACAAAATGTCTTCCCCCCGCCCCCGCATTCCCCCCCCCCCGTGTCCTCACATGCCTAGTGCTTCCAGATGAAGCCTTTGTTGTCCAATTACACTGCCTCATTCATGGAATTTAGTGAGCGCATGGGTGAGATTTGAGACCCTTCTTTTTCCAGCTCACCGATCACATGCTAATCATTCTTTTATACCGCCTATCTCATGGGTCCCAGTGAATTTCAGACTGTGCAGTCTCTTCTTGGGCAGGATGCTAAGGCATCTCTCTCCACACTTTCTGCAAGGAGTTGTACTAGTATTTCATTTGAAAAGCTTATCTTCCCTTTTTAAGGGCCTTACAACAGCCTAGTAATGGGATTTCTGGGTCCTGCCAAAGTGTCCATGCTGGTAAAGCTTAAAATTGCAGTGCCACAACAAAGCGGATTGGCATGTTACCCAGAGCATCCTCATATTTATTGATTTAATAGAATTTGTTGTTGCTAGTTGTGTCCGACCCATCGGGACCCCATGGACAACTTTCCTCCAATAATGATGTTTAAATGAGTGCTTGTTATACTGGGTTCATACAGAAAAGGAGAGAGCTAAATGAACAGGTCCAGTGTTCGTTGCAGATCAGGGTCCAGAATTGGGCCCAGCTGATAGGATGTAATGAGTGACACTGCTATCAGATATTATGAGCAGTTCCCCACATGTTTTAAAAAATTGTTCTTCATCCAAGATGCTGCTGTTTAGCTTTGCAGTAGTCTTTCCTCCATCTTATAGTTAGTTCATGCATGTTCTGATTACCTCTCCTCTAATAACACTTAATATTCATCTAATTAGGGACTGCAGGTGGTGCAGTGGTTTAAACTGCTGTGCTGCTGGGCTGGTTGATCTGAAGGTCGCCAGTTCGAATCTGCACAGCGGGGTGAGTTCCTGTTGGTCCGTCCCAGCTCCTGCCAACCTTGCAGTTCGAAAGCATGCAAATGCGAGTAGATAAAAAGGTACTACTGCGGTGGGCAGGTAAAAGCGTTCCGTGCACTTCGGTGTTTAGTCATGCCGGCCGCATGACCACGGAGACTGTCTGCGGACAAATGCTGGCTCCCTTGGCTAGAAAACAGAGATGAGCACCGCCCCTAGAGTCAGGCATGACTGGACGTAAGGTCAAGGGGAAACCTTTACCTTTATTCATCTAATTACTTGTAGTCTTGGCATGCAGAGTGCCTATTATTTAACATTTCCTCTAATTCCCAATACCAGGCCAGGTTCAGAACTAGCATTTAAATAAATTGTGCTGAAGCATTTAAAAGGAGGTTTCTTCTTTCCAGCCCTGCTTATCAAGAACATCGCAGTCTTAAATCTTGCTCAGGAATTAAGTGATGATCTCTTGGGTCTCAGAAATAAACAGAACAACCATGCATCATGGCAAAGCAAGATCAGTATTTCACTGTGATGGTTTATTTTCCACCCTGGCTAAACACACGAGCAGACTTTCGCTAAAGTTACACCATGAGTTGCCTGTAGTGTTGTTGCGTGCAAAAGAAGGGCCAGGGTGGTGGTGTAGGAGGTAAGACACTGGACTGTGAAAATAGAGAAGTTGGAGAAGTCAGCAGTGGACTCAGATATGCTTGTGTTTCTAAGAACACAGCCCATCAATTCTGCAGTGGATCAACTTTTCCTGCATCTCATGGAATCTGGACTTGTAGACTGGGGTTTTTTTTTTCATGTTCCGTAATTTTATGCAAATTTCAGCATAGAAAAGTTAAAAAACACTGACCAAAATGCCATTCACATTTGGGGCAGATCTGTGTATTTTTTTGGGAGGGGGTTGCTCAGTTTTGGGGGTGCAAATTTGTACAAATACTGACTTTAGGGAGCCAGTTGCAGAAGTGGTGTAGATTTTTATTTATTTATTAATTTTCGTTTTGTGTCTGCAGACGTGGAGGCATTTAGAAGTGTCAATTAGGTGCAGAATACAAGCAAGTATTCTTCATATATAATTATTTTTACCCTTCAGCTTGCATAACAATAACCTCCTATATTGATACCACATCTGATTGTTCTAGATTGTTTTCTCTTGTGGAGGCGTGTGTGTTCCGCCAAATTCTGGCTTTACTAGCTAAGCTTGTCTGCTTCCTGTAACAGGAGAACACTTTTTGATTTGTTATTGTTTAGCTCTGGCTACCAGGAAGACCTCTAATGGATTTTAATCATTTTCTCCCTCTTACTGCACAATCTGGCTCACATAAGCATCTTTCTTGGTGAAGATACTACGCCAGCCTAACACAGACATTCAGGAGATAAGCTCTTCATGTTGGAATAAACTTTGGATACCATATCAGTAGATGCTTGTGGCACTAAATAGAGACTGTACTTTTTGCAGGCGTTGGTACGGCCATTGTTAGGGCTTAAATATTGTGGGAATAAGCCAAGCAGGCATTACCTTCATATTGATACTAAATGTATTGGTGGTTGGGGGGAATACACCTGTACCTCTTGATCACTGACTGTAGCAGCTATGGCATATAGATGGAATGACTGGGACATCTTTCACTCAGCTCCTGAAAATGCACACATTCACCCAGGCTTTCCTTGGCTAATTATTAAATTAATCATGCTGCTCCATTTCGCTGCCCCTGTATTGTTCTCTATCGTTGTTATAATTGGGATTTTTAAAAATGTATTTTAAATATGGTTTTAATATTCATACATAAACCATTTATTTATTTATTTATTTATTTAGAGTTTTTGTATGCCGTCCCATCGCTTATAGCCTCGGTATGGCTCACATAAATAAACATAATGCAAATACAGTTAAAACCCAGAAACACCCTGGCTGCACAATTAAAACCTATAAATATTATCTAGCATTATTAAAATATTTTTTAAATAAAAAGGTCTTAGCCTGGTGTCAAAAAACAAATAACGATGGCGCCAGGCGGACCTCGCTGGGGAGCGCATTCCACTTAGGGATTTTTGATACTTTGCAATATAGAAATACTGCAGATGCAGAATTTAACTTGCTATTTTCAATAGATGCAGTTTATGCAAATCAGCCCCTGCATTTTGCATTGATTAAAAGTCTTTCAATTTCTCTTCAACTACCAACTGCCTCTGGTTTATGTATCAGGTTTTGATTTTAATCACAAGCAGAGCTGCAATCCTCCTGAGGAAATACCATCTCTCAATGGTAGAGTACGTGTTCTGGATGCCAAATCCCTCGGGTTGAGTCACTGGAACCTGCAGTTAAAATTAGAATAAAGAAGATGTGGGAGGAAAGGTTGTTGCCAATCAAAGCAAACAATACTGGGCTAATGACCTGTTTGGCCTGGCATGCAGCAGATTCCTGTGTCCTTAAGTACATTTACATAGGTGTTCTTTTGAGCCTACCAGAACTTGCTTCTGCATAAAACCATAAAGAGATCAGGCTACACTGCTGCAGCCCTACAGACTTAACAACTTCAGTGGAACTTTAACAGTGTAATTAAAATGTAGTTTCAGCCTAGAAGATGGGGAGTGTAAGGTGGCGATCCTCATGTGCACACTTATTTATGAATAAATCTCACTGAGCTCAATAGCATTTACTTCTACATTACAAATCTTTTGGATAATATTAATGAATTTGGTAGGTATGTCACGAGCAGAACCAGCTGGAGCTGGGGCGGGGGGCGGGGTCAGACTAGATGGCCCGGGAGACCCCTTCTGACTCACTCAGTTCCTATGTTTCTTATTTATTTATTTATTTTTAGATTTGTATGCTGCCTACCAATCCAGATGGATTCTTTAGGTAGCTATGAAACTAAATTTCATTGAGTTAGTTGACTCCTGTCCAAGTACAAACAAACAAATTGAAAATATCAGAAAAGAAATAAATAGCATGTAACAATGGACACCCCCTGCCCCAATCAGGAACAGACCAGTTTATATGCCAAAAGCCTGCCTGAATAAAATGCATTTGCCTTTTGGGAGAAGGACAACAGAAATGAGGCCAACCCTCAACTAATCCTCGAATACCATTTTGCATCTTTTGAACCGAGGCTGTTTCTTGGTAGTTTATGCTCATTCTATGGCACTGTTGTGTTTCTTTTAAACAATTGCATTATGATTATATTATTAACCTCCTCCAGAATTTTCAGACTGAAAGGTGGAATGGAAACATTTTAATAAATCTATAAGTTTATACTTAAACTACCTTTGTATTTGGCTATGTATTTTTAATCCTTCATGCTCATGGTAGAAGAGTGAATGTCTTCTTTGGTTTGCTTCTTTTCCCAGGGATACATTTGCAGCAAAGGGACAGACTGACCTTGCGGAGTCCCATTCCTTCAGTCCCGAATGTCTCAACCCTGACTCGCGGTATAGCAAAACAGCATGGTCAGGTGGAGTTAAACTACGACTGAAGAACAGGTGAGAAGTAGTATATTTCTTTAGACAGAAACTGTACTTGTCTTCTTTGTTACATCCTTTAGTTCCTTCTCTCCTTAAAGCCTCCTCCCTGTGTCACTATGAAACCTAGGATCAGTCACAAAAGGGGTGATTTTGACCCCAGACAAAAGTTCCTCAGGCAAAGCAAATGCTGCATGTGAAAAGGACTTTGCTTGGGTGAATGTTCCCCCCAGGAGGTTCCAGTCATCATGAAAATGAATTTTGGGGTTCAGGTAGTGCAGATAATTTATTACTTCCTTTTTTCTGCAGTTATGCATATCGGTAATATCTGAATAACAGTGCTTGGCCTATTGACTTTTGAGCTGCAAAACAATAGTGTGGTCTAGAAATTTTAAAGCAGCATTAAAAAGCCTTCCCACAATGGAATTTTGTTCTGCTTGCTAGAATTTTTAGCTTAGACTCTTTGCTTTCAAAGGAGACTAAGGTGATATGTAGATAATCTTCTTTTGTGCCATTCTTAGCTGCCTGTTTTGGGGGGTATAAAAGTACACAGAACTATTCTTGCTCCACTTTGGGGACATTCTGTTACCCCAGGCAAGTTTTGGTTTCTAGAATGAAAGCTGTAAAAGTCAGGAAGACAAAATTTGGAGGCAGTTTTTACTAAGTAGATTTTGGCAGTGTCCCTGATGTGCTAGATTTTTTTGTCTTCTTAAGTGTAAATTATGCCACAGAATGTGAGCCCAGGGTTGACCAGTTACCCCAACACACAGGAAGGACAAGACATTGTTGATATTCTTTTGGGCCTGGGTGTTAGAAGCCTGGATAGGGCTGCAGATAGATCTGACTCTTGAGAAACAGACATGACAAAGGGTCTAGATGAGAAAGCTTCTAATGTGTGCAGGCTTCTCTTGTGTGTGTGTGTTAAACTTTGGACAGATGTTTGTGATACTAAGCAAACTCATAATCTCCCCCACCCCCATGTCAGATGTTGGACTTATAAGCACCTTGGGGAATGACCACACTCTATAAAGCCAGTGTGGCGTAGTGGTGAAGAGCATGGGACTGGGACTCAGACGATCTGGGTTCTAGTCCCCGCTCAGCCATGGAGCCAACTGGGTGACTCTGGGCCAGTCACAGACTCTCAGCCCAACCTACCTCACAGGGTTGTTGCTGTGGGGATAAGATGGAGGAAGAGAATGATGTAAGCTGCCTTGAGCCCTTTGTAGGAAAAAGGCAGGATGTAAATCGAGAAATAAATAAATAAAGCACCATGTACTTTGGTAGCCCTATGTAAATAGGAATAGGATTCATATTGCATACAACCCCATAGGATCATAAGCTCCGGTGTTTCATATAAGTCATAAATGTTTCTTATGGACAGTTGCTTAGGTCCACTTCTTTGAGGTGAGTTCCCAGGCCAATCCTGTATTACCCGAGGCTGTTTATGATGCGAATCCTTCCTAGGTTATGGAGAGTTTGGAATAGATGTGTCCCAGCTGCCTCGCACTTTAGAAAGGAATAGAGGTGGAAGACTTGCTCCATTTCAGTTTCTTATTTTTCCAGTTGGTGACGTAAATGCCTTTTAAGTTTATGTGAAAATTTGTAAGCCTTTTTGTGCATATTTGGCCTAATTTGCCTAATATACTTTGCCTGTGATAAAATATGTTGCCTTATATACCTTTTGGTTGCAAGCCGTTTCCTAACATCATTAGGAACGTTATGAGTTCTTAAAATTCAGGCATCTTAATATTGTTTTTGCCAATATAAGCATACTTCATGCATTGATTGACTTGCAACATTTGGAGAAGTGCACATTTTGAAGGACAACTGAATTTTGGTCTGCGTGGTATTTTGTACTAAAATGGAAATTGAACAAATTTCTCCTTCATATGGAGGCAGGAGCTGCATGGTAGTCAGTGGGCGAGCGAGCCCTCATGAAGAAGTAGCCAGGGCGGCAAGTTAGTCAACCCATGGACCAGCCCTGCCAGAAGCTGGTGGTTGTTCAGCAGAGGAGCTAGCGAGTCATGCTATAAACATGTGGATGTCTTTGGATGTATAGGGACTCCATAAATTCTGTTGCAGAATTCTCTGTAAATGGGATCCCTCTTTATTCTGGGAGCTTTGAGGAATACTGATACATGCTTGCACATTAGAAAATGATTGCCCTTACTTACTTACTTATTTAAGGTTTTTATATGCCGTCCCCTTGCTACATAGCGTCGGGACAGCTCACAGCAATAAATAAATAAAACTAATACAATTACAATTAAAACTTGGAAACACACTGGCTGCACAGTTAAAAACTATAAATATTAAAGATTATTAAAATACTGTTTGAATAAAAAGGCCCTTCCTTCGCTGAACATCAAAACAGCAATGTGATGATTCCGCCCAAGTGCGAAGAGAAATATGAAATACTGTATGAAAAATTAAATGAAACTAGCCCAGTCCGGTTAAGGAGAAGTCCGTCTTGGTATAAATTACTAGGGCTTTATCGCATCTCTTCTAGAGGAGGAACAGATAATTGGCTAGTTATGCCAGGGCAATTATACAGCTTCCTCTAAGGTCCTTCCCAGCCTTTAAGGCCCTTCCCAGTCACTTAATACTCCTATAGTCTAGTGCTTCTATAGTCTAGAAGGAGACACAATCAAATGTCTGGGGAGCAAGGCAAAATTTTCAGATACTGGAGATGCTTCTTTGGAGCTGTCTTGGTAGATCACCTGGAAAGCAGCTTGCTGAGGCTCAGGTGAAAGATGTCCCTAAAAGACACCTGGCTGACAGAAGAAGAAACAGGTGTGGTATGCTTTGGTTGTTTTCCTTTTTCTTTCTTTCTGCTGCTTCTCTCTTTGGCTTATCTTTTTTCCCATTTTTCTTAGTCCTTTTTCGCAGTAGAGAAATAATTATTGTATAATCTGAATGGCACAGATTAATGAGATAGCTGGAGCTGGGAATACAAGATTCTGTATAATGTATGCATTATTTTAATTTACTATTGCCAGGGATGCGGTTAGTTGACAGTGTAGTTTCCTGCTACCCTACAGTTCTAAGGCCATGATTCAAATACACATAAAAGCACTGCTCCCATTTTGCTGACATTTTTAACTTGCAGCAGCTTCCACTACGAAGGAGGCAAGTCATTTTTACATGGGACTGCAGCTTCCCTCTTTGGCAATGGGAAGTGCAAAGAAAGCTTCAAAAGCACCATTGCTTTCTTTGCATTAATTTTTACTTTGGATTGCCATCTATGTTCTTTGTACTGTATTTTCTGGCAGTTGCTGTTGCTGCATTTGTGTGTGTGTGATCTAGTGCTATAAGTAAATAAGTGGGACAAAGGAGACAGGGCGAGCCTTAAACTGTAGCATTATGTGTGGATACGAAAGAGCGTTGGAAGCACAAGGTAAATAAAAAGAATTGCCTTACCTGCTTTGCCTCGTACCTCCTCTCCACTGCAGGATATCCTGGTTCTTTCTTTGTGTGCATATTTTCTTTCCCATAGTCCTTCACATTTTCTTTTCCCGTGTGTAAATGTGTTGGCAAATACTGGCAACACCTGCCAGATGCATGAGTGGAGTTTCCTTGTCTGTCACACCCCATGGTTATGTTTTCACACTTGTTCAAGGTGTGGGACAATTACAAGAGCATGTTTTTGAAAGCCAAACAAAAATGCTTACAGGAAGGTCCTGTGAATTCCTATAATTTTTGTACCCAATACAAAAACCACATATTTGCTTTTATAAAAAAGCATTCTGAATAGGCAACAAGTTTGGTCCAGAGGTTGGGATCCTAAGAGCCACACAATTAACTGGTTTGCACATTGTCTACAGCCCATAGAGAATGGGCAAATGCAGCAAGAGCATGAATGCACCAGTTCTCACTACTATGAACAACTCAGCTACCTGAAGGAGTGCTTACATCCATATATGCCCGGCCGCCCCCTGAGATCAGCAGGAAAGGCCCTTCTCTGGGAACCCTCCATGAAAGAAATTAGGAGGGTAGGTACTCGGAGGAGGGCTTTCTCAGCGGTGGCGCCTAAGTTATGGAATGCGCTCCCCAGAGAGGTCCACCTGGCACCATCGTTATTTGTTTTTCGGGGCCAGGCGAAGACCTTTTTATTTAAGCGTCATTTTAATTGTTAATATTATTTGATTATTTTATCTGGCCAGGGCAGCTTATTTTATATTGTTATTTCTTGTATTTTAACCTAATGTTGTGAGCCGCCCCGAGGCTTCGGCGAATGGGGTGGCATAGAAATGTTTTAATAAATAAATAAATAAATATTCCATTCCTGGGTTGTTTACCATAATGTCAGAACCTGGAACTCTGGGTTGTTGAGGGATTAACAACCCAGCAGTTCAAACATCCTATAGGCTGCATATTGCAGCAGGAGTGGGTGCGCACGGAGAAACCAGCATACACGCTTCCACTGCATCTTCAGCAACCCCACAGTTCACTAAATACCAACCAAGTCACTTCATTCCATATACATCAAAGTTGTTTGAGCTCATGTTTCCAACATGGCAGCAGAGGAGGCTTTGGCACAAGCAAGAAGGAAGTCCTGCTGTGTAAAGAAGGGGAAAGTGCAGTGGATGGCCATACCTAGAGAAGGTTTTGGGATCCTGGCCTTGTTGAGGAGCTGAGCCAGTCGCAGATAGACCTATATTACTGCTCACCATAATGATGAGGCTCTGCCTCGCCAGATCAGACAAAAGTACTGGGCATGTGATGACTGCATTAGGGAAGGCAAAAAGATTGCAGAAATAAAAGGCTTTTCATATGGCATACTTGGATGATTTTAATGCAAGATGACACGGGTCAGAAGATGCTTTAGATGTGCACTAAAGCAGGATGAGCAGCTTGCCTGGGTGCCCCCCGGTGTCACTGCATAAGACTTTGCTGCAAACAGAAATCCATTCCTTTCTGTGGGCATAAAAATTTCAGTCTTGAGGATATAAGCGTTTCGTTCAACCTTTTGGGTCTCCTTTCCTTTGGCCTTGACTTTGTTTTTATGTAATTGAAAGTTC